ATTAAGTTACATGTATTCATTCACTATTGACCATCCATAAGAATGAATCATGTCTATTTGAGTTATAGTTGATCAGATTATGCAACGATTGTGTAATCGGACCTCGAAAACGGAAATTTTCAGAATCTGGACTTCGGACCGTCTGTTCTGGAGGTAGAACGGACGTTCCAAGCTTGGCAGAACGTTCGGTCTCGACTGCAAAAGTCAGAACGGATGTTCTGCCTAGTAGAACGGACGTTCTGCATGGCAGAACGGACGGTCCAACCTTCCGTTCTGTGTCAATCAGTCCGTCACCCTTGGACCGTTCGTTCCGGCTTACCAGAACGGACGGTCTAGGGTAGTTCTCCGTGATCAGATCACGTTTCCCCGCGTTTTCAGCCCCGATCAGACCCGAAACTGAACCTAATTCTTCTGTACACCCAAAATTCGAACTCCTGCTCTCTATGCAACATGAAACATGCAATCTACACTAGATTCAATCATCAAACATGCATAGATATCAAAGCAAACATGGATTCAAACAATTCAAATCCTAAAACATGTGTGATCGGTTTCTATGAAATCAAAACAGAGCAACCAGGCTCTGATACCACTGTTGGGTTTTCTAGGATCTCATGAGCGACTCTAATTCCTAAGAGATCGATTCTAGGGTTTGCGCAGCGGATATAAAACAAAAATTTTAATGAAACCCTAGAACCATGCTACTATTGAATCATAGAAACGTTAGAACGCTTACCTCAATCGATCCGGGGCCTGTATCAATTGATCTGTTCGTCCGATCACTCTAGGCAGGAAGAATACCTCGCCCTCTACACGTATCCACACGTCGGGATGGATTCCAACACCTTGGAACTTGTCTGCTAGGACTAGAGATCTTGATCTCTCTTGTGTGAAAGGTTTTTGGAGGCTTAGGGTTTTATTTTTCTTTTTTTTTTCTTTTTTTTCTTCACCTAAAACCCTAGAAGACATTCTCCTTATATAGACTTTCCAAAAATCCTAATTTGACAAGGAATAGATTACTAGGAATCCTAATCTAATTAGGTTTCCTAAACCTATTAGAATTCTAATCTCATTAGATTTCCTAGATGTAATAGAATTCTAATCTCATTAGGATTCCTATACATAACAGGATTCCTAATCCCATTAGGATTCATATTCCAATTAGGAATCTCAATCCAATTAGGATTCCTAATCGGGATAATTTAGCACACGTACTTGTCCATCCCTATTGTATGTGACCCTGTAGGCTCATCCGGAATAGCAGTAAAACACAGAATCTCCATTCCGGGAATACAAGTCATAGGCGGTCTCTAGCAAGACACTATAACTACCTATCTCGAATAGAGTTTCCGACTGATGATCCTTTTGTATCGCGATATCATATGTCGAACATAAGGCATGGACAAGCCACCTTATCTGATTCGACTGCTTTCTCGTTTACTGAGTTCGACTGTCTGAAATAGACGATGTTCGTCTATAGTGCGGCCACACATTTCTACAGTCTTGCTCACACGAGGGGCCCAGCGATATCTCTCTCTTTTACGAGAGGTACAAATCCCGTCTTGACTATCTACAATCCAGTACATGATTCGTTTCGTACCTGATACACGCCTTTATAGTCCTCCTGTTACGCAGGACGTTTGACGTAATCAAAGCACGCAACTCCTCATGTTGGATTCTGTAGATATCTCAGGTCTTAGGATCCAATCATGGAATCGTCGTATGAGATTCAAGTCATGACGCTAGTCCATGTGACAATCTCATGCGGGTCAGTCTAGTATTCCGTTCTGCAACGAATACCTATGATTGTGATCGTATCCAATACCTATGATCATCTATGTGATCATCAATCACACATCATACTAGTCTTATTATGTCGTTATTCCCATAATGACACAAGACTAGGGAGTTTAGTATCATTCATAATGATACATGGATTTCATAACAGATCTAACATGCAGGAACATGTAATGAACAAGATACTCTCATAAAAAAACATATGGAAAGTATCAATACATCGAATGTATCTGAACAAAGCTCATAATCAATACATCATAGAGCACTAAACCAACACAAATCGCGTCCGAGGCCTGTAATCCTATAAGAACACAACCAAACCGAGTTTCGTGGCCTAACACGCCTATAATGCCTACAAATGAATATGATCCTCGTCTAAATCCTATAAAAACGTCCTGGAAATATAGAGAGAATTAGGAGTTATCAGTGATCTTGGCGTCTATGCGTAGATATCGAAGAGAGCTTTCCGATGATGTAGAGAATGCTTGATATGGACTTGTAGAGTGAAAGTTATTGGACTTGCAAGATCCGACGTTTTCTGAGCTTCACATTTTCTCTGGAGACATTCCAAATGTTCCCGGTTCGTCCGTGATGTTCCGTATTCCATGTTTTTCACTCCTTTTGCTCTCTTTATGTGTGGATTCCTGTTTAAACACCAAAGAACACAACCAACCAATATCGAAGCCAAATGTGCCCTAGAATGTCTACAAATATATAAAATCGAGTGAAATACGCTAGATATCCTATATCAAAACATCACCCGAAATACGTGTTATCAAACTCCCCCAAACTTAAACCTTTGCTCGTCCTCGAGCAAATACTCCGTGAAAAACGATCTGAAAAAGAAGGGTGAAACAATGACATAACTCAAAATGATAATCGAGAGCGAAACCTCTATCCGACCTAGATCCCCGTGAACAATGATCAAGTCTGTCTAGTATGATCTCTCTCTCTAAAGGATAATCTTTCCTAGCCATGGGATCTATACCGCTACCTAGAACCAATCCAAGAACTTCAATCATCTACCAAGCATGTTTCTCGAACCTATTACACCATTCTACCTAATCGTATCTAGTCTACGGTTTCGACACTCATTCATTTTCTCTTTCTCTCTTTTTTACTCATCTAGCAAGACTTTCTCTCTTTTTTATCTTTTGCTAGCATCTTGGGTTCCTAGGACATTGAAGTTGAAGGGTTCCTAATCAATTTTTTTTTTCGATTTTGTTTATTGGATAACCCGACGTTTCGACACTCATTCATTTTCTCTTTCTCTCTTTTTTACTCATCTAGCAAGACTTTCTCTCTTTTTTATCTTTTGCTAGCATCTTGGGTTCCTAGGACATTGAAGTTGAAGGGTTCCTAATCAATTTTTTTTTTCGATTTTGTTTATTGGATAACCCGACCCACAACTTAGACCGAACCATCAAATCGATGCACTCATATCCTCGAACGATTTTCGTTGACGAGATAATGACAGCGGAGTGTCGAGATGCTCACTATCTTTCTCTGCACATGAAGAAATAAGAATGCATTTGATAACAAACTTTACCGATTTCAGCAAACATGGGAAAGGTTCTTATAGAAACTTTTCTACCTGGCTAGACAACATCGGTCCCATGGGTTCCAACCAGCGATTTCTATCCCACAAGCCATTCTAGACAATCCTAAAGATCAAGCAATCAATTCAACAAAACATAACCATGTTCAACGGATCACAATGTTTTCAGGACGTTTCTACTCTCTCATGCCATAGATCATCACATCAATGCTCAAAACGTTTTTATGCACGTGATTTTATATGTCCTAAACACTATATGAGAATGCACAATTCTAACAACAAACTATATGATCCTAATACATCCTATATGCACATGCAACTAAAAAGTGAAAATAAAAGACAAAAATACATGCAACACTACTCTATATGGATATGGTTTGGCGTTAGACAAATCCTCCCCCAGACTTGAACTGGACACCGTCCTCGGTGTCAATTCTCGTCTAATAGAGGCAACCAATAAGATGAGTCAAAAGAGAAGCAAATCAAAAAGGGAAAAGAGTACTTAGCTCGCAATGTTCGTTCACTCGCACTTAAGTCTGCCTACGTCAATCGCATAGCTAGCTTCCTCGTCTCCTCATAGCTCCTCATTAAAACTCAACCTGATGATAAGAAACACAAACCAATATCCGATGCAAAAAGAAAAAGAGAAGGAGAGAAAAAGACTAACCTGAGACCTCGGGTTGCCTCCCGGAAGCGTTTGTTTAAGGTCATTAGCTAACCTGGATCATGAAGTATATGAGCATAATGGTTTGATAGGGTAGTCACCTGTTTAACTGAGTGAGAGGGGTCGTGAATGCCCATGTGAGATGAAAACGAGTCATGTGGTAGATTAAGGTCCTGACACGATCGTGTGGAAATGGGAGACCCGATCGGATGAGTCATCTGTAACTTTGAGCTTCGGATCAGCGCTGGGACACGATCGTATTGCGCAGTAGACACGATCGGGTCAACTTCATGTGCTTTCGTTTCTGGATCAAGGATGAGACACGATCATGTGGTGGGGATGACACGATCGGGTCAAACTGCTGAATTTTTCCAGAAGTTGATGTACCGTCAACACGATCATGTTGCAAAAGGGACACGATCGGGTCAGATGGCTGATTCGCGCATACATCATTGTGGCTTCGGACACGATCGTGTGACGAGCTAGACACGATCGTGTCTATAGATGACGGTTGCTTTAGATTTTTGTCCAGAGTAAATTCTACCGTCTCATCGCCAATCTTCATAGTGAGTCGACCTGCTCGAACATGAATGATAGCATCTACAGTGTTAAGGAATGGACGACCAAGAATTATAGGTACCTTAGAGTCTTCGTCCATGTCGAGAACCACGAAGTCAACCGGGATATAGAAGTTCCCAACTTTCAGTGGCACATCCTCAAGTATCCCAGCAGGGTATTTAATGGAACGATCGGCAAGTTGAAGAGTCATTCTAGTGGATTTTAGCTCACCCACATTCAGCTTCTTGAAGATCGATAATGCAAGAAGACAATCCGACATTGGAGCAGAAAGTTATGAGCAAATCTGTCAAGCATGTTCGAGTTGAAGAATCGACACAGACCGTGTTACATTCGACACGGCCGTGTTGTGTCCGTGCTGAAAAAAGTGAAGTTTTGCTCAGAGAATTGACACGGACCGTGTTGTCATTCGACAAATTGGTTGTCTTCGTTATGCTTCCTCAAGTGAGATGGAAATGGTACTGGTGGTGGCCTAGGAGGAGGAGGCACGTAAGCCAGTTCAGGTTCATCATCGGTGATGTCTACAACTACAGTCTTCGAGCTTTTTCCTCGCTCAACCATCGGTCGGTCTTCAACGTCTACCTGCTTACCACTTCTCAAAGTAATCGCATTGACATGCTCACGGGGGTTAGTCTCAGGTTTACCTGGAAGAGATCCGGATGGTCTTTGAGAGGCTGATGCTAGCTGAGCGATATGGTTGTCTATGATCTTGAAGTGAGCATCGATGCTTGCGAACTGAGCTCGAAATTCCTGATTTGTCTTTTTCTGATTCTGTATAAACTGTATAAGCAAAGTGTGCATATCAGGGTTGGATTCAGGATTACCTGGAGGTGTGGAATTAATATAGGATTGCCCCGGAGCTCTGTAGTTGGACGTTTGATTAGGACCCCTGGATTGAAAAGCAAAACTGAGAGGAATCCTCTGGTTCGAGTTGTCGGATGCTTTGAAGTTGTTCGGCATGGGATTCTCCACATTGTTTGACTTGTAGGAGAGATTGGGATGATTCTTCCACCCTGGAATGTACGTGTTCGGGTAGGAGTTATTGGCCACGTAGTTCACACCTTCGACTCTCTCATCCAATGCGCACATACCAAGCTCCTCTTGTGTTGGCATCAAATGCTTGGTCCTAGAGGGTCGGTTGGAATCTTCGAGCTTAGCATTGAGGACAGCCAATTGTTCAAGAACCATCTGTATGGTCTGATCATTGCATTCCCTTGGCGGATCTCTAGAGTACTCGCTCGGGGCGTCTTCTTCTTGGGTCATCATCTCAATATGATCTTCTAGTTCAGCGAATGACTTGTTCTGGATGCTCCCACCACACGAAGCTCGGATCAAAGTCTTGGTATCTATTCTGAGTCCTCGGAAGAAGGTGTTGATAAAGTAGTTCTTGTCAAGCCCGTGATGAGGGCAAGATTCTAATATCCTTTGTACCTCTTCCAAGCTTTATAAAGGCTTTCCCCATGATCCTGCTTGAATGAATGAATGCCAGAAAGAGCTGCTTGAGTGCAGTGAGTTGGGAAATTTTTTTGACATAAACTGCACTTCCAGCTGTTCCCAGGTGTGGATGGAATCGGGTGTCAGATCGTAACACCATTCCAAAGCAGCATCCAAGAGAGTCCAGGGGAAAGCAATCAATCGAAGTGTATTCTCTGTCACTCTGTTATCTCTCTTGATAGAACGACACATCATCTTAAAGCGAGTTAGATGTGCGTTCGGGTCTTCGTTCGGCCTACCCCGGAAAGAATTATTGCCCAACATCTGAATAGTAGACGGGTTCAGCTCGAAACTAGACATGTCGATGGCCGGTAGTCGAATACCAGCCAAAAGCTCAGTGTGCTTAGCCGTGTTGTACTGTGCAAAGGTTGAGTTAGCATTGCCCTCGACACCATCGTGAAGAGCGAAATCTCGGTCGTTCTCCATTTGTCTTCGTTGACGCCGGATGTATCTAACGGTCCTTTCGAGCTCACGATCAGGAGGTACTAGGTCTGATGTCCCAGCACTCCTGGTCATGCACTAGAAAAACCTGTGCACCAAATGAAAAACAACAACAAACCAAGAAAACGTGAGAAATCACTTAAGAAAAAGAAAAATAAACAAGATCCAGACTAGATAGGATCTAATCCTATTGCCTAAATTGTCCCCAGCAACGGCGTCAAAAACTTGATGTCGTCAATCTAGGTGTAGAAATCTATCAAGTAATAATATCCTAGACTCAACAATTAACCGCAAGTGTACGGATCGTATGTAGTAATTAGGGTCAAACACAAGGACAAGTAAACAACTGAATCATATTCCAATCCAAATCTAGATCTAGAGAAAATAAGAGAATAATGAGAATGTATCAAAAGCAAATAATAAAAACAAACGATAAACTATCAATGGCAAAACACTGCAGGCTTCGGGATTGCTTTACATGCAAAGGTCTTTCAAAAGATGCAAACTCAGTGGTTTATCTATCCAATTCAGGGAATTCAAGCTCTAAAGTAGAGATTAACCCTCTGAGTCTAACCTCACTATCCATGCTTTATCCTACTAATCTCTCGATTCAATAGTCTAAACCCCTAGATGTTGGTTTAGTGCTCTATGATGTATTGTTTATGAGCTTTATTTAGATACATTTGATGTATTGATACTTTCTATGGTTTATGAGAGTATTTGATTCATTACATGTTCTTGCATACTAGATGTGTTATGAAATCCATGTATCATTATGAATGATACTTAACTCCCTAGTCTTGTGTCATTATGGGAATGATGACATAATAAGACTAGTATGATGTGTGATTGATGATCA